ATGCTGATGCTGATGCTGTTGCTGTTGATGTTGATGTTGCCTTCGCTGTTGCCTTTGCTGTTGCTGTTAATGTTGCTTTTTCTTTTGCAGTTCTTGCTCCTTCTCCTGTTCCTGTTCCTACTTCTGCTTTCTGCTTCCTTTGAATCATTGGCATCATAATTCCTCAACCAGCATCGTCAAGCTATTTTGATTTACTGAAAGAATTTGTCTACAGGCGGCTTGGGGGAGAGTTGTGAGGCACTGCCGTTACAAAAGGGACAGGAGCTGTCGAGACCACTTCACAGAAGCCTACAAACTCGGTTTTTCTTTGAACGACATCAGCGGAGATACCGCTTGCATCTACAATAAAGCCAGGCCTGGGGTGGACTGAATCAATGAATAAAGTAGTTTTAATTTTATCAAGTACTTAAATTATGATTCTGTATTATGTGCACAGTTCGATAGTGCTCTTGAGACTACTTCGCGAAAGGCAGGTTTTCCAATTGGAGGGAGTCAGCTGAAAAGACGCTTGAACATGTACCAATGTCTGCGCGTCTATCTTTATTTGTCCGTTAAATGTATACCACATTAAGCTCTGTGTGGGCACTGTAATTAATGCATACCGTATTATTGTAAAAGTCCCACATCAAACTATTTGAGCTATTACGAAATTCAAATAACACTTTAATGTAATCATAAACATTCAAAGATGGTAGGTACTATTAAAGATGATAAAACTGTGGAAAGTAGAGGTACGTGGGCTGTTAGCCTTACGTCAAGAAAAGGGATGAGCTTTTATAGGATATAGTAATATTAAGATGTTAAGTATTAATCTGAAAAATGATCACAAGTACGCATCACTTTTGGAATAAATTTCTTTCGAGGGTCTCAGTTCTGTTCCTGGGCAGACGAATAAAACCATCATCTGAGCATCGTATAAATGGATATTTCGAGTCAAAATTCCCGCTGTGTAACGTTCATGACACTTAGTAGCACAGTGGGTCAACTCAACCACCTCGTCGTGAAAAGATTGTACCTTCTGTAGGGTTTATCAGAAAGATTAATAGGTTCATATTTATTGCGGGTTTAAAGGGGTCAGTAAAACAGCATTTAGAGGGTGGTAATTTTTACCTGGATGTTTTACGGGTTATGAAAATGACATTTTAAGGAACGTTCCAATGAGACATTGGAGAAAACAAAATGACGTCAAAATTGAGACCTCTTCAATGTAAGAGACGGAAGAAATCTTTTACTCTGAATAAAGAAAAATGGAAATATGCAGATATTCTCAAATGTTTTAGAGAGAGCAACAGATCGTCACGCATTCGATATCCAAAATAACAGCGTGACGAATGTTTGAGTGCATTTGCAGTTGTTGCAGTTTCAAAATGATGCGTCTAGACTGTTCAGACATGCCGTAGCATATCCCTAAACACCATGTGACTTGATATCGCAGATGATGACAAGGTGACGAATGAATGAGTCCATTTGCCATTCATGTGACATGACCTCAAAACTGGCATTTTAACATAAAGATTCTCAAGTCTCTTCACTCAAAAGTAAATCACCTTTCTCGCCACCTATTCGTGGAGCTTTATTGTCCGTACGGAGAGTGCACTACACGATAGTGCTGATGCAGCCGGTCCTTAACATAGTGACATACTTGAATTTGCCTTCATGGGCGTAAGCGTTTCACTTGTATTTTTGGTCGCCTTTCTCAATCGGCAATTACTCTGGTGATTGCTGCACAAAGCCACTCTCACTCTTTGTCACATTATTCTATCCTAAAGGCCGGACAAATTGCCGCCGCTATACGTCTACTATCAGAATCCCCAGCTTACAGCTGTGACTAATACGTTGCATGTCTTTGTGTCAATGACCATATACTCTAGAACTACAATTTATAATTGTTACCCTCCGACTTACCATGAGACAGTGGCTAACTACCCTTTTAACGTCTATACTAAGCCTCATATGGTCATCCACATTGCTGCCAGTTTATCTTTATCTCGTCGGTGTCATTCATAAAACCAAATTTTCCATAGCTTTATGCTCGCCAAGACCATAACATAGGTGAAATGATCACCAGAGCGCTACTAAGAGAGATATGCAAAGAACTTTACTTCATTGTCTTCGGCTCTTGATACTCACATAAGCTATAAGATACATGCGCGGCCTGCACGCACCTTTTATCTGGGCTACAGGTATGACGGATCGGGTTCTCATGCGAGATCGCTTGACCAACCCATCACGGAGTGTAAAGGTGCTGCACCTAGTGGAGTTTAGAGTCAATGAAACCTGGTCTAATAAAACAACTTTGCTAAATAGGTTGATGTTCACAAACTCACAGTGCAATATTTTACACTCCTATGCACGGAAGCAGAAGCAATTTTGGCGCGAGCATGAAGCTGCGATAGATTCAGTAAATCACATGGAAATTTCCACATCGACTCTCAGCGATGTGGCGAAGTTTATAAAGCTAACCATGGAAGGCAGAAACCGCTTTATCGGGATAAGACAGAATGTGTCTTCGGTAGTGGGACTGTCGCCCTTAACAAGACGAGCTACTAGTATTGGAGTTGAGGGATAAGCTACGCCTGTGACAGTTGGCTGTGTCTGCTTGAAGCAGGTCTAGCAACAACTCGTATATGGAGCGCACGTTTTATTTGTTGTACAACAACTTTAATTGAAGTCCGAGCGATTTAGTGGCACTTTGCGATAGAGGAAGTGTGCAGGGGCCGTTGTAGAAAAGAAGCAATTAGACGGTGCGGACACCGAAGGGCGCCTACAAGTCAGAATTGATCGGTCAGATATGCCGATTGTACTAAAGATGATTGAGTCTTCTTACGTTGAAGCGGCATATCTAAGTTAAAACGTCCATGCCACGCGTTCAACGTGAAACAGTAAAGCACAACGTGTTTGTAAAGAGAGAAATTCACTCACAATAGAAGACCGATGAAGTTCAAAGAATTTCAAGTATCCTCTAAATACCTCCGATAAAAGGCCACCAAAAGAATTTTTTTAGAAGATGTGAGCAAAGAACAGCGACATCTAGTCGCACAAGGATTGCCATTTGCCAGTATTGTTCCAAGAGACAAAAATGTTACATCAGTTATCCGTATTCAATCTGACGGATATGATTTGGAAAAAACAAGATTTTTTGTGAGTGTCAAACACGGTGTCAATAAATATCTGGATTGGGATTGCTCGACACACTTTATTATCATGGCTTGTCTTGGTCATGAAATAATTGCACGTTTTGATACCTAAGAGCCGGGAGCGGCGATGGCCCTATGAAGGCATAAGCCAGTCGTGAGATTGCTCTAGTGAGACACCTTTGGTAACTCATCTGGATGCCGGTGGGTTCTCTCCAGGTGAGGAAAAATTAATCTTTCTGGGGAGCAAGAAGCTGAAATAGCAACTGATACTGTCAGGTTGTCGATGCAGCACCTTGCTGCTCTAGAGGTTCTCAAATTAGGGTGCGTGCGTGCGAATGGACAGATCGGCACGCAAATTTGATTCGCAGTAAATATCGAGATGTGCATATTAGGATTTGAGATCTTCCGCGAGTATGAAGACGTCTTTTTATTTTTATTGAGAAAACATTACCAATTTGGGTATAATCAAATTGTCATATGTTGCAAACGCTTACAGCTGCGCGGTGTGCGGTTAAAATTTCTTGTCCACATGTCAAGCAAGCTTACGTATATCGCGCGACTTTTAGAACAGTAGACGTTACGTGGAGGCATCAAAGATGTCAAATACGGATACGATATCTGTGCGTCTTGCGACTTGTCTCAAAGGTTTTGTTTAAATCTCCGATCTAATTGTGTGCCAGAGAGAAGTTACCGTGTAAAGCAGTCTCCGTATCATATCTCTGCTGGGACGGGAAACTGTGCTGTAATTCGTGGTATATTTCCTTTGCAGTATAATTGATGTGCACTTTCAGTAAAATACGGTACGCAGTCATTACAGCGGAGAAGACACGATCTCAATGTGGTATACATTTTGGTGGGGGGTCCGCACGGTAATGGACAAAGTAAGATGGACGCAGAGGGACTCAATCCGATTCGAAAGCCCTCTTTGAAGATGCTAATTGTTACCGCCTCAAAAAGAGAATTGTCACCGGGCCTGACATTGATGAATGTCCAACCGGCTTCTCCGCTGACTCCATCTTATTAAAATTCCCGGCTGTGGGCTTCTTTAAGTAATCACAAGAGAACCGCCCTATTAAGTTACCGAACTGTGTACTTACTTCAGGATCTTCCGACTACCTTCATAACAAAATCAAAACTTCCGCCATGATGGAATTGTCCCAGCCGGTTCTGACTTTGATTTAGATGCAAGAAGTTTCTCCGGTGAGGTCGTCCGATTAAAAACAAGTTTGCAGGCTTCTGTAAAGTAGTCTCGTCGGCACCTATCTCTTTCGTAATGGGAGTGCCTGACGACGCTTCCGCGAGCCGCTTGTTAACAAATTCTTCTGGTAATCGAATTAGCTTGACAGCAGTGGTGGAGGATTATTGATGCCAATGGATCAAAAGAAGCAGGAGCAAAAGCAAAACAGTAGCAGGACCAAAGGCAGAAGCAAGAGTAAGGATGTTCTTTAGGCTGGGGGCTAGTTTTGTCTCTAACGGATTTCCAATCGATTTTTTTTCAGAACTACTACCAGCAACAACAGCAGTCTAATAATACTCATACTGGGCGGCGACATAATTTGCTCCCAAAAAGTTCCACTTCTCTAAGGCGGCAATTACCAGAACTTTCTCTTCATCAAGCCAAGTACAGCATTAATCTCCCCCATATCACGCTTCTCATTACCACTGCCTGCCGTAGTGTTTTGCGTAGCATCACTCACCCACACACGATTTCAGAATCACTATTTGCCCACATCTGACCTAATATCATCGATTGAGATCCAATGATTTTTTTGGGTCAAGATTCAACCTGCAGCAGATTTGAGTGTAATAAATCCAACCCTGCCTTTCGTGAATACGAAACGTCATTTATGGAGATAATACGAATAAATATATTGGGGTCTATGCATTCAAACACGAAGAATGTTCTTCCTATAGCTTTCTATTCACTGCAAAGCCCGAAACTTAAAGACGTTATAATTCTATACCCTTTTAAAAGAATTCTACCATCTCCATGACTTGGCATATTCAACGGCCATATAACGGTCATCGCTTAGCCGCATCTTTTGATTCCCGCGTGCGGGCACAATTTCAGCAGAAAGAAAAGCAGTGCACGTTTAGTTGAGCTCTACAAATGACACAAGGTTTGAAAGTGTAATACAAACTAAGTGTTTTACTTTTTTCACGGGATTGGTGGTTCACGCAGTTCATGTTACTTAGTTACCAATCTTGCGACTACAATCACTTTCTACACACGAGCTTCTTGTTTTTTTTCAAAACCAGGGTTATGAATGGCCTTGGCGTATTCATTGCCCACGTAATCGGCAATATGATATCTTTCCAAAATTTCCCATGGGTGAATCGTCAAGTCATTCGCTATCGTCTTATAAACAGCTTCATGAGTTAGCCCTTTGGTGAACCATTCTTTATATTGTTCATTTTGGAAATAACGTCCCCACTCTCTGGCTGACGAATCTGGAGACTTTTGCGCTAAACGTAGTATGATCGCCACTCTGGCGGGACCGACAGCACTGGTGAGCGTATCAAGCAGCGTGACTGTTTGTGCTTCATTTCGGTAAATTTCATAGTATTTCAAGTGGTAGGAAACCCATACTCTAGGAGAAAATGCTTTAAATCCACCATAGAGAAAGTTGCAGACGTCGCGTTCGGTGCGAACCACCATATCCACGACATCAACCGGACTTTTTTTCTTGTTCAGCCAAATCACAGATAGAGCTTCCAAGTACTTCTGCCCTAATTCATTTTGATTTTCCCGAGAGGTCAGAATTTGAACTAGATCGGTCTCTCCATAGAAATCGATGAGATACATAAGTTCAACAAATACAGCTGCCTCTCGATTTTGCGTTCCACTCTGAAGTTCAATATAATTGACCCACTGATGGAAGCGAACGCAAAAAAAATCGCGGCGATCGATCTTGTCGAGCATGATTCTTGTTAATCTGTGATTAATAATCGGCTCGTGTTCGAGCAGTGGAGCAGCGACCACACGTGTCTGAGATGTCTGGAGCGCTCTTTCGAATATAATATCTAAATCCTCGGGAGTAAAAAATTCTTTCATAGCAAGAATAATTTTCCGGTATGGTTCCATTTGTCCATTCACTCGTTGGTTGCAAACAAAATAGGCCCACTTTATCCACGAAGTGTCCGTCAGGAGGTTTTGTGACCCTAACTTCATTTTGCATATCGCAGCATATTCATTTGGCGTCATCCCACTGAGGAGATGTGGTACGATTGAAGCGGCGATGCCAACTAAGCCTAGAGTTGAATACCTTTGGGTGCTTTTCAAGATTTTCTCACGGAAGAAAGAGGCTGTCATTGCTGTCATTCCCCTGAATTCATTATCAATGCTCTGAGATCCAGTTAAAGGTTCCACTTGTGAAGTTGCGAACGTAGAATTTGTCCTTGCCAAAGCACTGGCAGCGAGAAGACTGGCCGCCACAACAGTGCGTAAGTAGCGAAAATGCACGGCTGTAGTCGTATGGATTTTCAAAAGTGAGTTGATTCCGAAGTCTGATGTGGTGACACATATAAATGTCAACTAGGTTAGCTACATAAAATTGTAAATATGCTAATTTGGTCGTAAAAACGCAATAAAATATCGCAACGTCTACATACAGTGTAATACTAAATCATGAAAAACTTTCACGAAGGTCAAATTACACGTAATGGTTATTGTGAATATGCAAAGATGGTGCTAAATACAGTAAATTTGTAATTTTTAGTATCCATGGAACATTGCAGGTTTTTTCTTTGCAAAAATTATTGTAGGTACAACGCGATGCAGTATTCAAAAGATTAGATAGTATGACCATTTCTAATACCGTATTGGTAAAGAAGGGTTGCCACGCCCTAGCCACTAAAGATTTATTTGAAGATGCTACTCATAACAGCATGCTGTACTTGTTTTCTATCGAAGTGGACGTACAAAGCAATCCTTTAAACATTCTATATGAGTGAGAACGTTGGCTATGTAAGGTGCACGGCAACCCATTGCACTAAGTAGCATTTGTAAGTCATTTCAACGACGGTAGGTCACGAGACGTTTCCCCGGTACAACTCGAAGATCTTGCTTTGTTTATGTCAATTTTTGATTGCAAACGGTGTTACACAATTACACGTACCCTTGTGAGAAAGGGCGGACCGCAATAGATTGTGCGACTATACATTGGTGTGTGTTACACAGTTAGTGTAAAGATACAGTGGGTTGGCTACATCGTAATAAGAAGCCAGGATTGCCAGTAGTAATGCATATACTATATTAAAATGAATTTCTTTACTAATCAGGAAATCCTAGGGGTTTGCTTAGCTATTGGCGGCTATGCCGAAACTAAAACAATAATATAGAGTTTAGTTCTTGAACAGAAGTGTTCGTTTGCCTTGGTAAGGCTTTAGTATTTAGAAGTAGTAGGTTACGGTCCGCTACACTAGTTACTGGTTCTTCGAAAAAACGTAAGAACGGTGATTTAGCTTAGCTATCTCTAAGCAAAGAGCTATGGCAGTCCCGCTGCATAGGGTCAGTCAAACAGCTTCTCAAGAGCCAAATGCGGTATTTAATCATCTAGAAGCTTTTAGCAGGTATGGGTATGAGCTTGTGAAACATTTTCAGGGACGTATAAATGATGCAACGTTGATAGCACAATGGGCACGCAATGTACAGTTACAGTGGTAAAATTTTGAGATTAGAGAAAAACATCTCTCTGAGTGGGGGAAGCTGGATTTTTCAAGTATTCTGCTATGCTTTAGACGGAGCAATAGCGCATCGCACATACGGTCTCCAAGACAAGAGGCCACGTGCGACATTGAACGTTAGCGTGCAGCGCCTCTAAGAAAATGGCATTCTAACATGAAAGTTCCCCAAAACTGTTATTCACTTGACAATAACCTTTCTCGCCACAGCTTCATGAAACTTTATTGCTCCGTACGGCAAGCGCTCAATACGATAGTCCTGATTCAGCAGTTCTTTTACATCGTGATATACTTAAAGTGGGCCTGTATACATATGGGGTCTAAGCCTTCTAATTGTAATTATAGTCGCCTATCTATATCGGCATTTACTCCGACGATTGCGACACAATGCCACACTCACCTTTTTCACGATAATCTACCTCGAAGGTCGCGACAAAATACTATGCGTTGAGTCAGATCTAATTTATGGATCCCCAGCATTCACCTATGATTAGAACGTTGCATACCTCAGTATCTGCAAACATACCAAGTAGAGGCCACAATGTATAACTATTACCTTCTGTCTCATAATGAGTCCACAGCTAACTATCATTTTCTACGTCTATACTAAGCATCGGGCACTCCCCCACGTTGCTGCCAATTCATCTGGTCAGTCCCATTTCCAAAGACAAAACTGTCGTAGTTTTATGCCCGCCAAGAGATCTTCTGCACCATAACATAGGTGACATTATTTTCAAAGTTCCGCTAAGAGAGAAATACGAGGAATCTAACGTTTTTGTCTTCTAGTTAAACCATAAGTGATAGCATTTAAGTCACGCTATACTGTGGATGAACTTGATTACTGGATCAAGGGCTAGGTCCAAGCAGCATATCACGCAACAGTAACTTCAAATTTTGCAAAAAGATTCAAGCGAACAAAAATAACTGTAGTTCTACTTCAAAGATTAAACGATGTCGTGACTGGAGCTGGCATCCTAATGTTCTCAATATAAACATTATCTCATGACAATCGCGCTATTTTATCACATTCCTGGAAATTTCGAATTTTGTCGAGCGCAGGGTTTAATTTTGGTCAACGCCTTCACCTCAATTCTCACCCCACCTCTCTTGACAGAGTCGCTTGTTTGAGATTTGGACCCCATTAACATCAACATATACGAGGTAAAATTGAACCTAGGTTTTTGCCGCTCGCTTTCACTGGCCTTGATTTTATTTTACCATTAACGTTTGGCCGGTCTGCGTAGGATCCCGACCCTGCATACCCCTAAATTAGACGCGCATAGAGCGAATGGTTTAGTGCTTCAGAAGTGACAACTGCGAGTCTAACGTTGGCATTTTAAAGTTAGGTGATCGCTTGCTTCCTTTTTAACTTTATTAAGTCGCTTTTATATCTTGCTCAAAGAGCTTCCACTTTATGCATCCAACCCGATGTCCACGAAACGAAGATTGTGCTTTGCATACAATGTAACATCCTCAGCATCCTTGAAAAATATATAATAGATACGGAAATTTTGACCTGAGCCGCACTTGTCCCAAATTTGGCTTAAAAGTTGGCAGTAGCTGTCGTCTCTTGCGATAATCTACCGCCAGCTCGGCGATAGAAGATCTCGACCACCTGCCATTGTTTGCTGACCCTTGCCCTCCCAGACAGATGAGCAATGATTTGGGTACACACGGCATGAATGGTAAGGCGGTGCAAAGAATCGTGGATATCTGCCACCTCAACACTTTCATGTTAATTTTTTTAAAGCTTAACAGTAGGTGAACGCCCTTTTCCGCACGAAGCACAAAGCGTGGGATTGGCTATCATGAAGCAATTAGCGTCTGAGATGTACTCGTTTATAGCTGCTCTACCATATCTATCAAGCAAGAAAATAAATATCCTTTTGCTTGCACTCAAAAAGGTAGGCACTTTACAGAAATGCCCTCGCGATGGGAGCCAGTAATATCTGGTTGAGGCGAGCACAGAGACGTCGCACAAACGCAATTTATAGCTGCTTAAAGTCTCCAGGCATGGCATAAACACTTCGGGTATATGCGCTGTCAAGTGTGTTGACGAAAGAGATTGCCTTAGAGGGCACTCAGCTACACCAATGATAACTCGTGATCTATCCTTACAACAGGAATATATAATTGCGACAATTATCTTCGAGTGCAATGGGTTCACCGTGCACCTTGCGTCGAGTAAGCATAGACTTAACAGAAACCATGCTACCAAAAGCAGAGAAAATGAGTACGTATGTCTCTTTTCAGGGTGGATTCGAAACTCTACAAAATAATTATAACTTACTGAATATAAACCTAGACTACATCTAACAATACAGTAACTTCATTGGTAGGCATGAGACTAATTGCTTATATTACTACGAACCTATCCTTCATGGGATGACGTCATTTATAAAAGTGTCGTTACCTGGAACTTCTAAGGATTTACAATTTTACAAGGTGTAATGAAAATTTTGTTCAATCGTACCAATGTGTCTGTTGACGTGCGCAATAATACAGTACATACCTCGTTTCACCCTCTCCGATCAATAGCTTGTCCAAACTGCACTCTTTTGCTTTAAGACGGTATTTGCATAAAATTGATATAGTTGAGAAGATGACAAAAACCGAAGTGAATATATTTAGGTCCTTACTTCGCTACTCTGTGCTACCTCTAAGCCTGTCCTTGTAGATCCTTCTAGAAGCTTCCTTATGTAACCTTATCTATCTAGACCAATGAGCGACTACCATT